ACGTTCGAAAACAAAAGAAAGGGTAGATGGAAAAGAAAACTAGTGTTACTCGTTTTTGTTTACTCGAACAATAGTGGAAAGAATTTCAGTGGGCAAATGGAAAATCGTCGTATTGCGGGTAGCGTATATGTATGTCGAGAAAGCCGATCTACCAGTGAGAAGAATAAAAAAAAACGAACGAAAATCCGAAGTGTGAACAATCGAACAAAAATACGTGGTGCGATGCGCTTTTAAAGGTGCTGCATCGGAATGACGGAAAGTCTTTTGTTCTTATTTAAACCTGTCTTGATGATACATCAGCTGCTGATATTTAATGGTTGTCGGTATAACTGATTTCCCGTTTATTAATAAAACAAATACCTGGAAATATGACTATCATATAGGAAATAATTGGTAATAGTTTGAGATCGTTTTATAAATCGTTTTGTACTCCAATTCGTTCAATTAAAATTAAATAATAAAATAAAAATTTTTTTTCATCTCATAAAAGAACAATTGATGAAAAGGATGATATATTACAATTAATTGTCAATATATTAAATGTTTCGAGAGGAAATTTATCTGTCGACTTTTAATTGATCAAGCATTGATTAAATGGCGATTGAATAATTCATAGCTAAAATGAAATAAATCTGTAATTTTATAAGGTTTATTTTACGTATGATTTTCTCATAGGAATTGATCTTGAGCTGCTCTCTTTAGCAATGCTTTGATTGCTATTGTAATATTGCAATAGATGTTCGTTAATCAATAACTATTTGGGAACAACTTCCAAAATGAATGTTAAGTTTAATTTGCGATATTGTATAGACTGACACACCTTCGGTGAGTTTCGAGAGATTTCGTACAAGCGTTCCGACTTTAACTATGACTAGTCTCTATGCAACTTGAACACACGTTTGTTTCTGATCGCTTTGTCATCTTCACAGGCATTGACTAAACCTGCAAGTTTAGTTCAATGCGGCTCAAGCCTGACAATAAAACATAGATAAGTGAAATAATCTTCGCATGTTTTATCTGTCTATCGATTGTTCTCATAGAATATTTTAAGTTAATTTAAATTCTTTTTCTATCTTTTTCTGAAACAAACAGAAAACAATAGACAATTGATCAAGTTTAATTAATGTTTATACAAGATCTGTGCGAGTAAAATACGAAATTAAAAGAGAAATTGAAAAACTAAGAAGAAAGGGAGAGATTTCTTTAAAGTTTTTACATCTACTTCAGCTTTAACTTCTCTGATTGCGGCTTAGATGGACTGACGAGTTCCATTGAACTAAATCGTGTATAAGATCCGTGTTATATTTGATGCAATTACGAAGATCTATTAATAACGGATATAATTAAGAAGATCTATTAATAAAATACAACATAATTTACTCACTTCGTTGTTATTCCGTCATTGTCTGATGCCTCACAGTCCTCCTCTTCCTCTTTTAGGATTTGTTGCACTCTCACACACACACACAATATTCGTTGAAACACGGTTAATTATAACGCGTACTAATTATCAGAATAGAATAATTGCACAAATTTACATGGCACTCCCGACGTTAGTTGCACGCGACGCACTTTATTATTCATACATCGCGATGGCAGAATAACGGGAAGAATACGAAGGTCTTTACGTTATCACTATGATCTGTTTGAGTTGTGAATCTTCCAAATTAGTACACCGACCTAAATCTCGCAGATAATTTATTGGAAATCTTTAATAATTTATACCAATGATGCATATAATATATAATTTATACCAATGATGCATAGACGTTATAAAAACAAAACATTCCATGATATTAGTATTCCAACCGTCCCGAGGGGGTAATCACTAGTTGAAATATTGTCCCACAGATTACATGATTTCATATGATTACAAATAATTTTTTTCACTACATGAAGTCATTTGGTAAAATATACGATTTTATTTAATATTATATAATTGTTTGTATAAAATATTATGTTATATTATATTATATTACATTATATTATATTACAATATAACAATGATTTCAATGGTTGCGTAGGGTAAAGTTGCCGGAAATCGCACACTTCGCTTAAAAATTCAAATATTGTATATATTTATATACTTTCTTACGGGTTATTTGAGAACTACATAGTACTGTAATGCTATTCTATTATACTCGTGACATGAAGTGTAACAGGAGTGCTGTTATTTACATAAATAAAAAAATCGTGATAGCGTTGCTATTTTTCAACGTATTTCATATATAGAAAATATAAGTTAAATAATCTAAGTCTTGACCATTTATCGTGATTAAAATATTATTAAAATAATTAAATTAATAGAATTAAAATTTGCTTTACATATTATTTTTTATAGATAAAATAAATAAAAGTTTAAAAAATGCTCTAGTTTCCTAAATCGCACCATGACGTAATTTTCTAAATTGCACCAGAATCTAACTTCTTAAATCGCACGTTATCTAATATTAATTTTCAAAAAATTAACATTTATGATGTGTTAAATTAACACATATTTCATTCATTTGTCTTAGAATTTACTCTCTAAATCTGAATTAGCGGATAATCACTGATATCAGTGCCAAGTATGCCACAGTAATCAGTGGATTAAATGTGAGATTCCTAACCTAGCTAATCTTTATTATGTGATCTGACTTTATAACCTTGTTTTAGTGCTTAAATTTAATGAATATGATATTGGAAGATTGAAATTAACATGCAAATATATCAGTATTTTATTTATAAAATGCTCTCTCTCTCTCTCTCTCTCTCTCTCAAACATTTTTTCTTTTTTAGTTGAACTTCACTGATTATCAGTGCCAAGTATGCCTCTGGGTAATTAGTGACTATCCACTGATTCAGATTTAGAGAACAAAGAGCAGAATATTTGGAGTCTTCCGAGTGTCTTTCATGATCCTATTTTGAATAGTAATGCGACAATATACATAGAGGCTTTTACCCATTCGCTCGACTTTTACCGTCCGAATGATAATACGGCGATCTTGTGTACGCTGCAAAAACAAACATCAAGACCGCGCCGTGCTGGTTAATTTATTGCTGAAATATTGAATGTTTTATAACACAGATTCGCGCTAAATATTCTATTCCTCAAATCAATTTCGATAAATGAACTGTTATTATATGTCTCGCGCTTTATTTTGTGAACTTATTAACGTCGCCTAAGATAACACTTAATTCCGTTTGATTGAGAGAGCGGTTTAGAAAGAAAATACTGTTATTTGAGTCTTAATTGAACTTGCTCAAATTTGATTAAAAATATATATTACTGGCAAATTTTAACTGTTTATTATTACTGTTTTAACTATTAAATTGTTGTTTCAATATTTATTTGTTAAAACAATAAGATTAATTCCAAATTTTCAACTAAACTCTTCAACAAAAACGCTCATAAATACAGACCTAACATCTATGCTATCTGTCTTTGGACAACAAAGTTTATACAGTGAGTGCAAAAAGTATTCGTACAAAGAAAATATTTTTTTAAAAAACTTCATTTTTAAAAAGTAAATACGTATTATCCAGCGAGAAATGAGTCATCTAATTGATATCGAATCGGTATAGATACGATAATTTCAACATCAATTTGATGTTGATTCAATGTTTAATTGACGATCATTTCTTGTTGGGTAATTAGCAATTTATTCATAAAGAATAAAATAGACTGTATGTTTCTTAAAATTATATATATTAAAAAATGTGTATTAATTATAGAAAATATATCATCTAAAAAATAAGCAAAAATTAAAAATTGTATTGTTTGGATGTTCAAAAAGTATTCGTACAGTTGAGAAATTTGGCTTTTAAAATCAGGAATACATGCGAAGCTCGTTTATTTATGTTAGAACAGAATGTACTCATTGATAAAATTGCTAATTAATGTTTATTTTCTACAAATAAGACTTTTTTTATAACAAATTTCTTTGTACGAATACTTTTTGCTTTCATTGTATGTGTTTTTAAATAACTACGGTTTTATACAAAACAACCTCTGTCTCATCCTTAAATATGCGGCAGCACTGAGAGGTAATATCTGGTGTAATTCGCAAATATGCAGTACAAGTCCTGCCATATCACCTTTACAGGTACATGCTTTTACTGCACGATTGTATGACCTTAGTTAGATCTAGGATTCGCATTACTGCAGTCTTATTACAGTTACGTAATAATCATTTAAACTTCACAACGGTTATGTTATTACGGTTATATAATAGTGACGTCTAAATATCGGCAAAACCATAAAAGCGAAAATATAAAATTAACTTGAAATTTTTAATAATTTATTTAGTTATTATTAAAAATCGTAAAATCGACTAATGTCAAAACTATTGTGTTAAATTCATCAAATGATAAAATAAGTTTAAAAAATAAAATATTTATAATTGGCACCAAATTATTATTAATAGACACCCGCTTTGATCACTCATTTTCAATTAGATAATTTACAATTTTATGCGTTATCATACATTTTCCCAGTGATATTTTAGAAAACCTAACAAGAATCTTGTATTACACATTTCATTAAAACAGCACCATGTAGAAAATATATCTATCAAGAAAATGAAGTAAACAATTATATTATACTCAACTAACCTCCATTGTTGGAATTTTCAGAGAGATACATATATCTTCTTTAAAACGCACGAGAAGATATAGAAGCGTGTTCTGAATGAACTAAATTCAAAAGTTAAAAGTAATAGTAATTAATCACGTTTGTGTTAAAAATAATAAAAATTTCGTTTGTTTAACACTCAACATTATAAATGATCATTTTTACGTGATGTATGTTAAATCGACTTTCATCGTAATTTATTAGCGATTTTATTTTAGTTCATTGTAAAAAAAAGCAGAAAAGACGAAAAGATAGCAAAGAAAGAGGAAGATTTAAAAATGATCTTTATGTGTCTTATCTTGCTTTATTATATTTTTATTAAAATATTACAAGTGAATAATAATTTATATTAATTATTATAATTATATTGTGTAAATAACTTGGTACATTTTTGGAATAACGAATTACTACTCGTTGTATTATAATTATAAGGGATCTTTGTTTCGAGAAAATCGTAATGTGCAATTACAAGGCACTCTATTCAATAGATTTCATTTAATACTATTATAATGAATAGAATTCATATATTAGTGATTAAATGGCAAGAAGCAAAGTAAGTTTAAACATAATATACTCTATTCGTTCGTGGTTTCAAGGCATAATAAATATCAAAGAAACACCGAATGGCGCATAGGCGTGTGGCATTCTATCATTCAATTAAATTTTATGACGTAGGATGAAAGAGCTGGGTAAATGAGGGAAGCAAAGTAAAGTGACCAACAGAAAATGATAGGATGTCAACAAAGGTGTGACAACGCGGACTAAGCAAAACACTATATTTATCGTAGGGTTTTATGGTTCAGAACAGTGTTGATGCTGTGTAAATAATAGCGCCCTGATTTGGTGACGTCGGGAACACCATGTTTTCGAGTTCCGCTCGATCCTTTGTGCTATTTTGACAAAGATATGTTCGGAGAGCCTCGACGAATTGCTGAACTCCATTTTTATCAATAATAGCTACGATGCAACCGCCCCAACTGTATTACGAAAATAACGATTTCATTTTCATTGTAATAAAAGTGACAAATAATGTGTGAAATTAATATATAACAAAATATTGAATAAATAATTAATATAAATTTAATATAATATTATGTGATAAGTTCCTCGTCATAAAAAGCACTTTGTATCTGGTACAGCAGAAAATTAAATTTAAATATAATTTATATTTTCTCGTCGTGTGTGAATATTATAATATTTTAGATTGATGTAATAATATACTCACCCTGCTCCTGTGAGTCGAGCGCCGAATGCACCGCAAAATATGGCTCTTTCGACGAGCGCATCTACGCTAGGATGGCTGCACTCGTACAATTTATAGAGACTGGCGTGGCTCTTCGACATCAGGTTGCCTAGATGTTGAAGCTTCTCGTGTTCCATTATGCTGCCTTCCTCATTTATACGGCGGAACGCGAGCACTCTGCCAGCCTCTGCGGTGTAAAAGCAGCGGTGCAGTTAATCGAGGTGAGTTTACTGACCACCGTGATAATGAACCATCGCGCTTTTCGACGTGATGATGATTCAATGTAACATTTAACAGATATTTGCAGAGTGTTTAATGTAACGCTAATCGATTTGACATTAATTAATATGTGCGCATTATCGTAGTATTTGCTATTAGAAGACATTATATTAAAATAGAAGGGAAAAATTAAATAATACAAATTTCAAACGTGAACGTCATTTTTTTGTATATTAATTATTTTCTGCAATATTTAAGGCTTCATATGTATTTGAAAATGAATTATGCAAAGATGAAATAGGCTATATATTCATGACAAATTAATAGTGCATAAAAATAAATATGATTTAATTTTTCTCAAAACAAGAAGTTTTTGGGGGCATATATTTTATAAGTCCATTCTACCAATTGCAAATGTTTTATTGAAAAAAGTATTTTTATTCAAAGATAATCTGACAGCATTTTGTGTGTTTCTTTTTGTTTCTGACGTCACAATCTGAAGTAATAGTGAGGGGTGAACAGGAACCTGAAGTTTAGAGAATTCGGACCTTTCAAATCTTTAGAAGTTACAATCGACATACGTCTACAAAATAATTTATAGCTTCATAGAACATAGTAATGCTTGTACATACATATATACACATAATTGATTTACCGGTACACTTTCATGCACAAAACTAGGAGATGCTATAACTTCTGAGATTGCAACTTTTCACGCTACTTTTACGGTGTTGATGGTAATATCGAGAGATAAGATCGAAACTACTTAACTACTTTAATAATTCAGTTAATGCGACGAAACGAAATTCAATTCCTAACTTTTTAATAAATCTTTAAACTTTATTTTAATGAGCATGAAATTCAGAGAAATGTAACGCATTTGCTTGCGTGGCAAAATTAAGAATATATTGGCGCATAAAAACAGGGAAGGGTTAAGCTCACTTGATTTATCGGATTTAAAATAGCGTTTGGCGATTTACCAGCGCATGAAAATTGATGCTTTTACCTTGAAAAACGTGCAGAGCCCGTTGCTGCAGTTTGAACGTTTGCGAGATATTAAAGGAACTGACGAGAGACGTTTTCTTCAATCGTTCGTAATCCGTACCGAGGCTCTCGCAAATCTACGAGAAAAATTTATATTCCATCGGTAATTGTCCTTTGATTTACCATTAATAATAAGACATTCACCCGATATCAAGTTTAACACGAATGAATTGTACGAAACTTTTTTTCATCATCTTTTTTAGCACGATGTATAAAGTTTCCTTTTTTGTGAGAGATGCGCTTCTTTAATAATCTTTAAGAAGATCTATACTCTCCGTTGAGAAACTGTATAAAAGAAAAATATCTTCCTTTTTATTTATTGCGTTACAATGTGTACCTCATCAAGAGTATACGGCTCTTCATGTAGTTCTGTCATTACTACAGTAACCATATCGTCCAAATCTAAAGCGAGCCTCTCCTGAATGTCGATTAATCTTTGAACACGCTCCCAATTCATATTTCCTTTCTTGGCTATCATCTAAATAGAAAAGACAGATTTCATTACTCAATTGAGGGAAAGATGTAATATCGTGGTGTAATATCGTGAATAAATTATTGTGTATTTTTATGAAATCTATATTTTTCCTCATATATTATTAAGTTGATTCAAGAATACATAATTTTTAAGAGGAAGTAAAAGCGAAAGAAATCGAATTAGGGAAGCTAAAAGTTATAAAATGTCTTGAATAAGTGCAAAGCGCATCAATCAATGTCTATATTGAAAAAGCAACGAGCGTGAAACGTAATTGGGAAAAGAATCTTATTCTTAGATAATTTTTTGTGTTTATTTTTACGAATATTTAAAGGATTTGAAACATTTTAAGAGAAAGTAAATTAAATAGAGGTGTATAATTGCATCGTAATCTAAATTGATATTTGAAAATATGTAATATAGTATTAAAAATGTATTATAGTTACGACGAAAATCCTTTTCTTGAAAGATACATATTATTATAAAAAAAATATAAATACCTGTGCGGCCAATCGACATTCCGCAACTCTGAGGTTGTAGTCGGCGGTTGAGGCTTTATTGTGATATGCTTGACTATGTGCTATTACGAACACTGCATTTTCTGGCAATGTTACATCAGTTGCACGCAGGGGATTAAACTCTATCAACTTAGCCGTACCTTTACGAACAAATAACATCGCGAAAAAACGATATATTTAAAAATTTTTAATATAAGAGATATCTAGAATTTGTCTATATATGTGTGTGTATAGTTTTGTGATCAAACAGTTTTGGGGATCACCATACATAGATTAATATCCACGAGAAATATTTTTTCTAATTATTTAATTTTTAAAGGTATATCTTATAAAATTTGATTATGATTTCATTTTATATGAGAAAAACAAGGAAGAATCAAGTGAAACCAGCAAAAATAGATGAATAAATAACAATATTTTATTTATATAAATTATAATGAAAGTCAGAATTACCTGCTTTCCCAAGAAAAGCGATAGCTTGGTCCATTCCGCCACCTTGAGTGCCGATATGTCTCTCTGCTCGAGCACTGATAGTTGCCAATTCATGTTTTGATAATTGATGCTATAATATACAAATAACTTATACTATTATCACAAATAATAATATTTGTGATAACGATTATAATTTCTATTGATAGTTTGTTAAAACAAGATAATAATCTGAATAATAAATATATTTATAATTTAAAATAACAGAGTCTGCGAAATAAATTTAAGATGAAAATTGTCAAACTAAAGAAATAAAAAATCTAAGCTTTATAGAAAGCTGAAAGGTGTATATATATATATATATACAGGGTGTTTCCAAATTAAATCGCAAAACTTCGGGAGCGTGTAGAGGAGTAAAAAACTAAGAAAAAAAGTCCTATAGACATATGCTCGTTTTTGCTCCGTTTCAGAGAAATCGAAAAAAAATGTTTACATTTCTTGCCATATCTAGCACCGACATATTTGATTACATTTTCCACTTTCTGTTATGAATTTGTCAGTCGCTCTTTGAAAGCCTTTAACAGTAGATGAATTTTGTCTTTTGCAATATGCCGCGTACGTATTCTAATAGTGAATATGCTGATATGGTTTTTGTATACGGTTTCTGCAACGGTAATGCTTTAAAGGCGGTGCGAGAATATGCACGACGATTTCCAAACAGAAGAGTGCCAAACCGAAGAGTGTTTATGTTGACATTTAATAGATTGCGAGAGACTGGATCATTTTCAATTCGACAAGAAAACAACCGATTTCAAGCAGCGTTACGAAGAGATTTGCAGGCA